CTGAAGAAGTCTCTTGGAGGAGAGATGAAATGTTTCACTAAAGAAGAACCATCCAGAGGACCTACTGATTTTTTCTTTTTGAGTATCTAGTTTAGTTTCTGACTGTGGTTTCTACATAACAGTCTCACCATGTTCTGTAGTTAAGGACTTGAACATTTAAATTGGTCATTTTACTGCTATGCTGTGTCTAGTTCTTTCTGTTTTTGTTTGAAAAGACTCGTATGAGTGGTTTGAGCAGCTTGTTGAAGCAGAGGGTGGTTGCTGCAAGGACCACTCCTCAGAAGACCCTCTCTGTGTCTGATGCTACCACTGCCCCCTCTCAGGACCAGCCCTGAGCCCTGCTGTAGTTGACGGCTGACTGGACTCAGATGTCTCTGTCCACAGCTCGTCCTCCTGACCCACTGTCTGATGGAACCAACAAAACCTCTGAGACCTCCGAGCCACTCTCAGGGATGTTTCACATAAAGCTGTCCTCCTGCCAGAGCAGCAGCAGGCTGTCACAGCTGGAAGGCTTCCTGGCTCTACAGCAGCCTTAACAGTGCTGAGGTGGAGAGCTCTAACTGTTTAACAACATTAGGAGCTGCCATCAGGCTGATTTACTCCACAGCTGTGTCTCTGACACAAACCGTGGCATGTTTTTATATTTAACTGTTGTTTCTGAATGTTCTATAAACCATGTCATCAAAAATCTTTATAAGGTGAAACTGTGTGTTTTTAAATGTTATTATTTAATGTATTTTGTCTGTTTGCTCTAAACTTAACAAACATTTTCACTCATTTGTATCCCACAGTTATTTTTAAATTTTAAAAAACAGTGTTGAACTAGACATGGGTTTTTAYGATGTAAAAACAAGTGTGCATTGCCTGCAGCATTGGACTTGCAGAATGAACTTTGACCAAGTTCAAATGTGTTTTCTAAACCAGCTTGTGCCTGTCACGTCAGCAGGTGTTTGTAATTAAGGTAATTGTGTAACAATGCGAAGTTTGAAGAGATAGAATTTTGTTTAAGTTGCGTTAGCTGGGTTTTGAACCCTGATCCCCCACATGAAAGCCCATGACATAGACCATTAGACCAATGGAGCTGTAGCAGAAGGTGGTGCCAGGGGTTGGTTTGCATGTGTGCAGAAAGAGGCCACATTGCCAATTCAATTATTTACACAAAAATGCATAATATTACAACAATAGAGCAGTATTAAGACAATATTATAGTAAAACATCAAAATACAATCATATTAGTATTGTAAACACTGAACTATTGAGATTAAATATAAAAAAACTATGGTGCAGTACCAAGTTGAGTACAGCTGGGGCAGTATTGGACAATACAAGGCTCCATTGACTGCCATTATAATTCATTAAACATTAATATTTCATAAACTATAAGTTTTACAGGCACCAAAAGGCATAGCCATCATTTGGCACAGGAGCTTTACAGATATAAATTACAATGGCAGCTCTGGGACAAAGTATGCAGGAGGAGAAGCATGGCAAAGTTTAGATGACTTGGATGGGAAACAAATCACACTGTTTAAGAAAAATGATGTAATAAAACACTTGAACAAGAATCTGTGAACTGTCTTTTTTTTGGTGGGTTATTTCACGGAGTTCAGTGTGGGAGGTGATGCTGTGAAACAGTGACTATACTGTATGTTGTGTCTACATGGAGGCTCATGATTTGTGAAAGGAAAGCTGAGGATGAAAGTTGGGCCGTAGCCCACTTCATCAGAACAGGATTACACATGTGTGATCCTAACATCATCTGGGGTTGTCATTCCACTAGGTCTGATTCCTCATCGCCCTGCTGTCAATGCTTATGACCACATCAACAGAGACCAACATCAGATTGACCTGCAGAGTTTGGACAAAGGGCTGAAGGTACCCAGGACTGAATCCACCTCACGCTGCAGGTCAGATGAACCTGGATAGAAACAGCTGTAATTCAACATGAGTGAGACCAAACTGTTGTTTTGAAGGTCAACCTGCTGCAAACTGGCCTGTGAACACCAACCCTGGAGCCTTGCTGGAGTATCTGTGGATTCTGGAACTGTCAGTTTCAACCAATCAGAGGAGAGTCTTTTAATGAAAACAAGTTGGGTCAGAAGTAAAGCAGAAAACTGAAGGGAAGTGAATCATTGTGCCTTTGATGTGAATAAAATGCATCTTTTTCTTTTTTCAAATGCTAACTGATGGATGTAACCCAATCCTGTTCATGATCATATGAAGTGATGTATTACATGTTTAATCATGTTGTAACCTGAGTTGCTTTCTTTGTCTGAAACATGAAAGAGGAGGGGTGTGAATATGTATGAACTGATTTTATTCAGAATTATACAGGAGTTTATAAAAGTCACATGCACATTAGAACAAAGGCTTTATGGACGAGTACATCAGATTGTTAATCTCCTGCTGCCCCTGGGTCATGTTGGCCTGACAGGAGCGTTTAAAGCACTTCCATTTATCTTATTTACACTTCATTTTTGTCAGTTATTTAATTTTTTACATGCTTCTTCCTGTGGATCATCATTGTAGACATTTATCCCTTGAGCAATGAACACAATTTTACATGTTTTATGTTTGATTTGTAAAAAGTGAAGTCACAGTTTTTTTTATTACAAGCACAAAATTGACACATGGCTCTTGGGCTCCTCTGAGTCTTGGTAAATCTTTGGTTAATTTTATTCTGCTGGGTTTTTTAAAGGTGTACACGACAACACATGAGCTGAGGTAACAGGTTTCAGAGTTGCCCCCCTTCCTACCTCCATTCATAAGCTCCAGAGGAGAGTGTGGGGTTGAACTGACCGAAGCTGGAAAAGTTGTTCCTGTCGACCTACCAGGTACAGCAACTCACTTGGCTCGTCAGGTCACACCCTGTCTAAGTGAGTGGTAAAATCTGAGCTTTTAAGCCTCAATTCATGCAGGCAGTTGTTCAAGTTCAAAAATCCTACTCGTCTGATAATCTTATTTGGTTATGCATATTAATTTGATGCTTGCTTGATGCTTGTACTGACTAAATACCACTGTACTGACTAAGTACCACTGTACAGACTAAATACCACTGCACTGACTAAATACCACTGTACTGACTAAATACCAACTGTACTGA